AATTTTAAATGGAAATTTAAGTATAGAAACTTGTCATGTTATAAAATTATTTCCAATGGAATTCTGATAATATTTCTTAGCACTGATGATCTGCAGTTATTTACTGGATGGATTCTGGTAGTACATTTAATTGTTCATTAGTAACTGTGAAAATTATTCTTTAGTGTTAAAGAAAGTTGATGGTGAAATAACTTTGGAACATTAATCTTTACATATAAATAAGTTCACTTTAGGCAAACAACTTATATGAAAAAAATGATACAGCTTCAGGTGAACCCTAGACTTTTATTAAAGTGCCTAAATAGAGGTCAGCTGGCAACTGCATTGTTTTGGAAAGCTACTGACTTTGGGAGCAAAGTGACATTAATAAAGTCACCTCTGTTGTTCAGACTTGGAAGTTTGATGGCATCCTGTGTTCACTTTATAAACAAAATATGCCAAGGAAAAAGAAAGAAACAGTGTTTCCCCCTGCCTTCCCAAGTGGAACAGTCTTTTGGATGTAGTCCCACAAATATGTTCATTGAAATGAGACCAAAAAATGTTTAAAGCCAGACATAAAATATATAATAATATATGAGGCATTCTAGAAATAGATGTTCATGTAATTTTGATGCAGAGGATTACACTAGAGAGATACATTCTTACAAAGAAAGAAAGCAAAAATACTTTTTGCTTGACAAGTTTAGGGATAAAAATAATTTCCTTTGTACAACTCAAGGCCCATGACAAGTAAATAAGCAAAAGAAAAAAAAAGATTTACTGATGTGATAACAATGCTTAGCAAGCATAGAGTAAAAGAATGGTTAGAACATTGTGGCATTAACTAGAAAAATCAGTACTTTCTTCAAGATCTCCTCCTCATCCTTGGTCCATTCCAGGGAGCCCCAAGAGGAGATACAACTATAGGCAGGCTACCTATCTACCCAAAGAACCAGTGCAGTACAGTGATTCAAGATATAAAAAATACATTTTTCTATTGACGAGAAGTCAGAAATGCTCATCTAGTTTTCTACATTTAGGGGTTCAAACACATTGGACATCTATGAGCCACTCCACTCTATAGGCAAACACTAAGATTACAATTTCCCACATTCATCAGTGGTTCCAAAACTCAAGCAATATTTCTGGTTTGTGCCTCACTAACCAAATAACTCTAACTTTCACTTCATATAATTTCTAATCTTGATCTCAGCCATTGTTATTTTTCTTTCAGTTTCTGATGAATTTCAAGTATTTTCTGATTAAGTCTTTTATACTCATATGTATTGCACTCTATATTATAAAAAAATTTCCCATTGTATGACTCCTTTTTGGTACAGAAGTAATTGTCAAAGAGACAAGTAAAGGGCTAGATCAAGTAAGACTATGGAGTACTAGGAACAGTGCCTTCAGAGTGTCATGGCCCAGTAATGTTCATTGCTGTAGGTAAAGGCTAGGAAGGGGACATAGGCTTTGGCCTGTGAAAGCCTCATATTGTCTTCTATATATTGTTTTTGCTTTCCAATTCTGATTAATTTCCATGACTCTTCCCTATGATTGTCATTAGTATTCTTTTCATTCCACATTGAAGAATCCTCAATATACCCCTAACTCAAAACTAAGAAGTTGTTAAAGAGGTAGAACAAAGACAAAAGTAGAATAAGACCATGGAACTCTAAGGCTTCCACAAGAGTGAGTGGAGATGTTTATGAGCATTTGGGTTAGGAGTTAATGACATAGCTGTGAAGGATAGAAGGGAGGTAAAACAGAGGAAGTGGTTTCAAAATAGAGATGATTTATCATTTGTTGCCTCGAAAAGAGCCCACAGGAGAGAGATTGGAAATGCAGAAGAGGAGTGAAATAGGTTGTGGAAAGCTGTATTTCTAATGCTGAAGCAATATTTGGAATGGAGATGCTGAATGAATTTACTAACATTAGTGGAGTGAAGAATTAGAATTAAGACAGATGGCTCTCATTTTCATAAATGGGAAGTGCCATCAGATATCATTTGTTTAATTGCTCAGATAATTCAAGTGAGGTGACATGGAAATTTATATACTGGTTCAAGAGAGAAGACTGAACATTTTGACAGCTTTCATCTTTCCTCTCTACCAAAAGTCCATTGAAATGACACAAAAAATATAAAACAATCATAAATTCATAGGAACTTCAGAAATCAGGAAAGAGGGCCATCAGCAATGCAAATTCCTGGAGGATATAAAAGAAATGAGATAAAATGGATGGCAAATCCCAACAGATCTGACTGTGCATCTCCATAGATATGGAAAAGAGCCTCCAAAACAAAAGGAATCTGGAAATAAGCTCAAGATTAAAGGTTGCATGTAACTAGGTGGGGCAGTTTATGCAGGAGGAATAGGCTATGTATGTTTGATCAGTTAATTAAAGAGTAGAAGAATGATCACAATAGTGCCCTGGTTTCAAAGCAGTTGACTTCACTGAGTATAAAATAAAACCACATGTGTGAAAATCTAAATCCAATGTAAGAGATTCCAAACATATATATATATATTTTTTTTTAATGGGGTAGACTGTCCTCTGACTTATGAGGGCCAAATAAGAAGAAAGGGTACCCACTCAAAAGACATGCTACCCCCACAGCTTTTCTGACAGTATGCCCAGCACCCATGTTATCATCTGTCCTCAGAGCCAGGTGAATATTAAGCAAGGTGTAACCATTTCACTTGAAATGCTCTACAGCTAACAACACCTAGCAACCAATACTTTTGTTATAAATGTAAGTAAATAATCAAGAATCAAACACTCATGAATAACCAACACAAGCACAAAGAGAGACCAAACTTAACCATCAAAACAACGTGAACTTTGGAGGAAACAAAAGTAACTTCAGAAGCAAAGAAAACAAAATTACTTCACTTATTATCTTTAGGGACATTCAAATGAATAATATATCCATGGGGGAAGAAAGCTGCTGTCAAAATGAAACTATTTGTGCTTTAAAAAAAAAAAAAAATCACTCACTTAGTTGGGCTGAATAGCAGAAAGAACAAACTAAGGATTTGGTTAGTGTAATGAGATTGAACTAATTTTCACATAACTCAATGTAAATTGGCAAAGAGATGAAAAGTAGAAGAATTTGCTGCATTTAACATGCTTTCTTTCCCTTTTTGAGTTTCCAGATTCTCATTCTTGTTGCAAGTCTCTGTCTTTCTTTCCCAATCTTGCTTTATACCTGCCAGAACTTGCTTACTGTTCTTACATGCTGATATCACACTATACGTTTTCAGAATTGCTAAAGATATGCTTTTAGATCTACATTTCTCATGTAACTTCAGTAGAATTTGGGAGAAGGACAAGAAGTAAATACTTTGGTTCAATCTGTTGCTTTGAACCATAACAATATACTCTAAAGATTGGAGAAAAGAGCCTGTCCACATACATGACCTTGATTTTCTTTCTCTTTTAAAATTCACTTTTTTATGTTAGAAACCATGTTGCCAGAAGTACTTTTCTCAATAAATTATCTAATCTACCAGAGTGACATGAAGATTGATAATGAGATTGTGCATGTTCAATGTGTTTCTCATTGACTACCTGCTAGCACTGAACAACATAAAGAAGTCTGTATAGATGAGTAGACTTGCTTAAGATTTTCCTTTATCTGTGGCAAGTAAATATGTACAATAAATTGACCAGTTGTCTCTTTTTTAATAACCAAGTTTACAACTAAAGTCTTAGTGATCTCCGGTATATACATTGACATTTTTAAAATGGAAGAACTTAATTTATAGGCAATAAAAACTGAGAAAAACAGCCTACATATGATTTTTCATCTACAAAAATTATTCTAGGGGCTGGTGCTGTGACGTAGTATGCTAGGCCTCAGCCTATGGCGCCAGCATCCCATGTAGGTACCAGTTTGTGTCCTGAATGCTCCTCTTTCTGTACAGCTCTCTGTTTATGGTCTGGGAAAGCAGAGAAAGTTGGTGCAAATGCTTGGGCCACCTGAATGGGGTACCCGGAGGAAGCTCCTGGCTCCTGGCCTTGGATATACTCAACTCAGCTCTGGCCATTGCAACCATTTGGGGAGTGAACCAGCAGATGAGATCTTTCTCTCTGTCTATCCTTCTGTCTGTCTGTAACTCTGCCTCCCAAATAAATAAAGAAAACCTTAAAAAAAAAAAAAAAAAAGAAAGAAAGAAAGAAATGGAGCACTTGGAACTCAAACCAGTGCTCATATGTGGCAGTGTGTTCAGACAGCAGCCTAACCCACTGAGACAAAACACTGGCCCCTACACAGCATCTTACAGAAATACAAAGATATATATACCTGCATCCCACATCAGAGTACCTAGCGCATTTCCTGACTCCAGCTCCCAATTCCCACTTCCCAACAATGCAGTTTCAGGGAGGTAGCAAGTAGTGGCTCAAGTGATTAGGCCACCATTACCCACCTGGGAAACCTGGATTGAGTTCCAAACTCTAGCCCTGGCTCAGCCCCAGCCAACTGGGGCATTTAGGGAATGAACTAGCAGATGGGCCCTTTGTGTGTGTTTGTGTGTGTGCGCATGTGTGTGTCTGCCTGCCAAATAAATTTTAAAAACATACAAATGCTATACAGATTTTTTGGTAATTAACTGAAAATAAATATAAACTTATAGTACTCTTCCAAATTTTCAAAATGATCCCTGGGTCCATTTCAGCAGTAGAAAATGTCTGGTAGTTCTTACTTGTTTTAATGTTAGTTTAGGCTATGAAGCAAAGATTGTTATCTTTGGTTATTTATTTCAATCTTAATTAAATGGTGATCAATGAATTTATTCTTTATGATTTTAGTCTCATGGAATTTGAAATTTATTGTGACTTGCCTTGTCACCCAGCACATAATCCACATAATCAATTTTTGTAAATAAACCTTATTCTTAGGGATATTCAATTATCATGGTTCACAATATTGTATGTATGCCAATTAAGCAAAGTTTATTAAAAGTGTTACTTTAATCTTTATCTTTGCTGATATTATTTTACCCTTTCTTTATCAGTAATTGAGAGTGGTGACTTTGTGGATTTGTCTTCTACTTCAAATTGTTGATTTTTACTTTAGACACTTGAAGGTATGTGAAATCAAATTTAGAACTACTTTATCTTCCCGATAAATTTCTTTTTGTTACACATGCTACTTAAAAATAGGATAATTATGTTAGATTTCTTTTGATTAATATTACCATGGTATGTTTATTTCCATCTTTTTACTTCCAATCTCTCTGTATCTTTATATTTAAGGAAATCTTTTAAAAAGCAGCATATAGTATTTGTATTTTAATAGGATTAAATACTTTTATTCCAATTAATGATATATTTGTGTTACATGTATTGTCTATGTTTCTCATTTTTTTATGTTCCATTTTTCCTTGTTTGTATCATTAAAGATTAATTAGATGTGCTTAAGTTTTCTATCCTCTATATTGATTTGTTAATTATATATATATGTGTGTGTGTGTGTGTGTGTATCATAAAGAATACAACATACTAGGGCCGGAGCTGTGATGCAGCGGGTTAACGCCCTGGTCTGAAGCGCTGGCATCCCATATGGGCACCGGTTCTACTCCGGCTGCTCCTCTTCTGATCCAGCTCTCTGCTATGGCCTGGGAAAGCAGTGGAAGATGGCCCAAATCCTTGGGCCCCTGCATCCTTGTGGGTGACCCGGAAGAAACCCCTTGCTCCTAGCTTCAGATTAGTGCAGCTCTGGTCGTGGCGGCCATCTGGGGAGTGAACCAGCAAATGGAAGACCTTTCTCTCTGTCTCTACCTCTCTCTGTAACTCTCTTTCAAATAAATAAAATAAATATTAAAAAAAATAATACAACATACTGCCTGGACTAACTACAATAGCTTTATATTTATACTTCTTAGACAATTCTAGGACCTTAGAATATTCTAAGTCCACATATCACCATACTTTGTGTTATTGTTACCAATCATTTTCATTCTATACATGTGTGCTTCCCAGAAGACATAATCACTGTTTTCTGCAGTGAATAATCATTTTCATTCGCCTATATTTTTACTCTTTTGGTCATATTTCATTCCTTCCTGAACTATTTCTCTTTGGAATCATTTTCCTTTTGTCAGCAGAATTCACATTAGTGCTCTGATTTTCAGTGAGGATCTACTGACAAAATTTTCACTTGCATTTTCTTTTTTAAATTTTTATTTAAGTTATACAAGTTTCATATATCTCATATATACAGATTTAGGAACATAGTGGAACTTCTCCCCAACCCTCCTTCCTGCTCACATAACAACCCTTCCTCCCCTCCCTCTCAGATTTCTGTTCTTAATTTTTACAATGATTTATTATCAGTACACTTAGTGATTGTGTATTTAACCCTACTCTAAGTAAAAGAGTTCAGCAAACAGTATGAAGAGAAAGAAAACAAAACAAAAGATTGTTCCTCAATGGAAAAGACAAGGGCTATAAACAATCATCTATTCTCAAACTATCTATTTCATTCCATTACATTTCAGGTATTCTATTATTTGCTTAGGATCAGGGAAAATACATGATATCTGTCTATATATTTGGGATTGGTTTATTTCACTAAGTATAATGGTTTCCATTTGTGACCATCTTGTTGCAAAAGACAGCATTTCTTTTTTTTTTTACAGCTGACTAGTACTCCATAGTATTTATATAATTTCTTTATTCAGTCAATAATTGATGGGCATCTGGGTTGATTCCATATCTTATCTATTGTGAATTGTGCTTCAAAGAACAAGGGGGTACAGATAACTCTTTCATATACTCATTTATTTTGGGTGAATTCCCAGGAGTGCAATAACTGGATCATATAGTAGGTCTATATTCAGATTTCTGAAGTATCTCCATACTGTCTTCCACAGTAGTTGTACCAGTTCACATTCCCAATAGCAGTGGGAGAGGGTACCTTTTTCCCTACATCCCCACCAGCATTTGTCATTTGTTGATTTCTGTATGCAAGCCATGCTGGAGTGAAATTAAACTGCATTGTGGTTTGATTTGCGTTTCCCTGATGGCTAGTGATCCTGAGCATTTTCACAAGTGTCTGTTGGCCATTTGCATTTCCTCTCTTGAGAAATGCCCGTTTAAGTCCTTTGCCCATTTCTTCACTGGATTGTTTTGTTGTTGAATTTCTTGAGCTCTTTATATATTCTGAATGTTAACCCTTTATCAGTTGTGTTTTCATGGTCTATAAATATCCTTATTTTATCTTCATGGGGGGTATTATTGATGGGTATAAAATTCTAGAAAGATTTCTTTCAGCAGCCTGAGGATATCATTATATTACCTCTTTTATTTTTTTCCATGGAGATAGTTTTCTTTCAACAGTTTGATATTATTCTATTTTTGTCTTTTATTATTTGCATTGAGAAGTCAACCATAATTCTTACTGTACTTTGAAGATAAGGTATATTTTTGCTTACTAGCTATTTGCCAATTTTTCTTTTCCTTTTTCTTTTGTGTTTGATTTTCAATGATTTATGTTCCTAGGTGTGATTTTCTTTGCCTCAGTGTCTTTTACTCTAGAAATTCATTATCTTTATCTTTTCAATAGCTTCTGACCTACATTTCCCCCTCTCTGGGACTCCAAATAGGTAAAACTTTTTACAAATTCCATTATACACTTATAATCTTCAATATTTCCATCATTTCTATTCATCAAGTTTCAGCACAAACACTTTTTGGTATTTCTTCCTGGTAACTAATCTTTTCTTTAGCTTTTAATGCTCTATTTAACTTTCCTAGTGAGTCATTAATTTCAGTTGTTATGCTTCTTTTATTTCCAGTATTCTATGTCATTGTTTTAAAAAATCAAACTATCTAAAATGGAGTAACCACAGTTCTTTTTTATCCAACTAGATAATTCAAAAAGATGAGTTATTTATATATGTGTTTTTTCCCTCCTACTCTGTGTTATATATGCATTTTTTATGAATGATAAATATTATGTTTGTTAAACTATAGGGACTCTGCATAATGTTACTTCTCTCTTCCTGTAGCTAGTTGACCAATACAGTAATGGAAGATTATCTTACTATAATTCTGAGATTCAATTACAAATTTTATAATGTTCATTTTTGTCTCTTGTTTCTCTGCTTTTCTATTACGTGTACACCTACATTCCCAATTTGGATACTGGGGTCTTTGAATCAGGATCCCTCCCTTTTGAAAGTTTCTGAACTCTATTTTTTGTTTTCCTAGGACTCTAAGACTGTGGAAAACCTTGCACAGTACTTCATTGGCTTTCTGCCTAGCTCCTTTTCCTCTTGCTTTGTATAATTCAGAAATTCTACAAATTATTTATTATTCTTTAAAATGTTTGTCTTACTGTTTGTACTAGATTTTATAAAAGAATGGCATGCATCATAAAATTTATACATTTAAAAGTAGTAGATTTTGTTATCTGTATACATAGAGGAAGATAAAGAAACAGCAGCAGTTTAATGTAATCTGCTTTCCCCGGTACCCAAGTAAGGTTTGTTTTCTTTTTTTCTTTCTTTTTCTTAGTTAGGCTGCAGACTTTGTGTCATTAAAGTAGTTATTCATGTTTGGAATAGTCATAAGATTATAAAACTTAACGTTTGGAAGGAACCTAAGACATCATCTTCTTTTGGCTAACCTCCCACACAGCACAGAAATGTTTCCTGCAGCATCCTTGGCATATGCTCATCCGGTCTCAATTTGGATATCTTCAGCAAAGGAGCTCATCATTTCCTGAAACAATCCATTCTGTTGGACAACTCTATTTTAAAAATCCTTATGTTGAGCTAAAATATGCCTCTTTGTAACTTATACCCATTTACTCATTGTTTCAAGTTTTCCTTCTGGAGTAAGTCAAAACAAGGGAACATTTTAGATAGCTGTACATAAAACAGCTATAAATGGCATTCTTGCCTCTTCTTTTTTCCCTCTCTTGTCCCAAATTGTTAAACATAAATTACCCAACTCAAATTAATAATCCTAAGTAAGGGTATCTACTTGGTAATGATTTTGAAAACACAAATGTCTGTGACATTTTGAAGAATAATACTTTTAAAGTTATCTTGAACTATATTTTTGTAAAGAAAAAAGAGTAAGAAGACTGCCATAAATGTTCAAAAATGATATTACATAACTATTTGTGGGAATATAGAGAAAACCAAGCTTAAATTACCAAGACGTGATTAAAATCTAGAGGTATATTTCTGTTTTCATCTGATCCTTTTCAATTATCTTTACAATTTGTTGTGAATAATAATGTGAATCATCATATAGTAGCTAATATTTATTGAATACCTACTATGTGCAGTCCATATATCATTTTCTCTACTTTTAAACTGAATTATGTACTCAATGAAAACCATCTAATACCTTGTAGCACAATCTATGATCTAAACAAGATACTGAGGCTCAGGTTAGTTAATATTAGTAATTACATTGAAACAACAGCTACAAATCAGAACAATTCAGGCATACGACACTTATATCACCATCTATTAAGTTGAACTTCATTCAGGTTATTCTATTGACTAATGGCATTACTCAGAAATTACATATGTCAGGAACATTGTTTCAAATAGTTCTGAAAGGCATGATAAATGCCTGTTCTGCTTATGATTTAACTTTACTCCCACATCCTAACCTCTTCCTCACATTCAGGACCATAAAGAATGGTTTTGTAAGCAAGAATTGGTACTTTACTCAAAACCTTTGAGAAATGAAAAAAAATTTCTCTACCCTTCCTCAATAAATATAGGAGAAACCATAAGGTGCAGAAGGTTAGACTAGCTACTCAGCCAATCCCTCACTGACCCATAAGCTATTTTCAAGATGTAAGAAGAGGTAGGGTTGGAAGAATCTGTTAAAACTTTGAAATTTTCAGAGCCTATTTAAAAGACAGTATGGGGGAGTACATGATGCTTCAATTATTTTGCAAAAATACCATAGTTATAAAACTAATCCCATGATCCCTAAGGAATGCCAGTCCTCATTCTAAGCAGTTTTCTCAGCTTTGGTAATGTAATCAAATGTACTGGTGTCTGAGTTTCACTGTGGCTTAATTGGTCTGGGATGAAAGATAGGTTTGTGATTTTTC